TCTGTGGCTATGAGCTGATCTGAAGGCTTAGAACTCATACAAAAGGAAGGTGGGCAGTAAATGGGATCAGGACTCTGAGGGTCCCTAGTTGAGTTTTTATGGAGGAGAAAGTAAGGCTGGTGCTGGAAGGATGCTTATAAATACTAACTGGAGTGCTCCCTTCTCTGCCCTGGTGGTGGGCCTGGACTTGGGCCTCCACAGGTTAACAATACTGTCAGGGAACAAGACAGTATCCCCTTTGGCTGCCATAGGAGAGTAAAAAACAAGGCAAACCATTGTATTTCATTTTGCCCCAATGGAGTGAATAGGATACTGCCAAGTGCAGGAGGATGTGGGATGGCCAATGTATGCTACCTTTTTACCCCATATCTACTTTTCCCCTGGGCAGGGAGAAGCAGACATTCCTCCAGGTCTCCAGAGGAAGTATGTTGTACACAAATCTTAGTCCTCTATTAGAACACTGTAATCCATATGATGGACTTAAAAATTGTCCTAAATCTATTCTAATTTTTCAGCTTTTCTGGTAATTAGAACACTTTTTTTTTATGAGATAGGTGTTAGTATTCAGTCATCTGTACTGGACTGCCCTTGGGGTTCTGACAGGATACACCCTCAGCTGAAGCCACTAAGAGCACCACCCGTGCATATTCACTATGTTCCCTTTTAAAAGGGTCCTGCCCATCTCCCATCACTCTCTCTCTTTGTCTCCCTTCCTCCCCCCTCTCTGCCCCTCTTTCTTTTTTCCTGCTGCTCCTATCCTCAGAGGCCAGTCTCCCCCCACAACCCCTTCCTGGTCCCTTTCCTTAATAAAAAAAAACAACAGACAAACAAAAACCCTCTGCTTGAACCTGTTGCATGGTGTCTTTTTCTAGCATTCTGCTTTTCTTAAATTACAACATAGGGTCTTAAATTACAACATAGAAATTTGTTGTAATTTCTTAAATTACAACAAAGTAGCCTTGGCTGGCCTGGAACTTGCTATGTAGACGGGAATAGCCTCGAACTCACAGAGATCTGTCTGCTTCTGCCTCTCTTTAATTGTGCTGGGATTAAAGGTGTGTGTTACCACTCCTTGCTAGAGTACATTTTAAGCAAAATAAAACACTAAATTATCTTCTTCCAGTCCAGGGCTAGAATGAATGTCTCATGGTGTCAAGAGGCCCTGAATCTCTTACCAAGGCTTTGTATCATCTGCTCAGCTCCCTCTGACATACCCCTCCTTCACCAGCACCAGCTTCTAAGATAGTTTTGAATGTCCCTCATACACAGTCTTTCTTTCATCTGAGCTTTCTACATGATGTGTCCTGGGCAGCTCTCTGCAGGAGACAGTGAATGACTTCACATTTGTTAAGGCACTAGATAGGGACCTTTTGGGAGATGAGCTGGTTAAGAACAGAGAGATGAGGCGGGGTGTTGGTGGCACAGACCTTTAATCCCAGGACTCAGGAGGCAGAGACAGGAGGATCTCTGTGTGTTCGAGGCCAGCCTGGACTACAAAGCTACACAGAGAAACCCAGTCTCAAAATAAACAAACAAACAAACAAACAAAGAACAGAGAGATGTAGTTGATGGTCAGAGGGATGGCAGACATCTGACCACTGAGTGTGAGTTGGATATCCAAAGGTGCTCTTGGATTCTGGGGCTAACCAATCCTGAGGTGTTTGTCCTGGACATTCTTAGATATTCACTTGTCTGTTCACTGTCCCTATCCCCACTCAGGCTCTCGGGGCTCGGCAGCTCCCTTATCTTTGTGTTCACTCCTGAATGGCCTCACCACCTTTCTAGAATGATATGCAAACCTCCTAAGGCTGGGTCACCTTCATCTAGGGTTAGGTGTCAGCACGTATTCTGGCCTTGGATAGTTCTTGGCCATCAGGGCAGAAAGGCAAGATGTGAGTAGGGAGCACTTCGTCCTGGAGGGTGTGGGCAACTGGCCTCAGAGGTCAAGGTGAAGGTCAACAAAAACTAACTGGCTTAGGGAATCCCCGGACCTCTAGAAAACTAAGCTATGGTTATTATTTCATCTTCCCTCCCTTCTTCTTTTTTGAGACAGGGTCTCATTATATAGCCCTGGGTGTCCTGGAAATTGCTATATAGACTAGGCCGGTCTTGAACTCACAGAGCTCTGTCTGCCTCTCCCTCTCTAGTGCTGGGATGAAAGGTGTGTGCCACCATGCCTGGCTCCAAAATTTCTTCTTAAAGACCAGATATTTGCTGTTGTTTTGGCTATGTTTATTCCTTAGACAACAAGAACAGAGCCAGGAGTAATCTGCAGGCTTGGAAGCTGCTTGCTGCATTTGCTATTTTGGTACTTGACTTTAAAAAAGGTTCAAACCAGTTTGGCAAGTGAGTATGAAAGGGGGCTAATCATTGTGTTTAAAAAGAGCCCACATGACTGGTTTTGCCTTTACTAAAGCAATACAGAACAGAGCAAAGCAAAAACAAAAAAAACCAAACAAATAAACAAACAAAAAAATACCCTCCAGTGAGACTGCTTTTAAGTATAATATCAAGAAATCAAGTTTAGCGCTTGGGTGGTGACACAGTTCTTTCAGGTTAATGTAACAGCTATAGCTGAACACAATGTGTTTGCATTTGGAGATTATTTTCTACAATTTTCCTATATAAGGCAAAACTGATAAAATGTTAGAACTAAAGATGTAGTATATCAGCAGCATGAAACTGATGTTAGAGAAACAGAGCAGATGTTGCTCGTGGGAAAGATCCCTGGTCTCACAGTGGAGCAAGATTCTTTGTCTCAACAAAGGGACCCTTTTACCCTCAAGGCAAGAGGCCATTGAGTTATGTGTGGGTTGTGCAAAAACAGGAGGTACTGTTTGTTTATTTTTTTTGAGGAAGTAAAAGGTTTAAAAGAAATCTAAAGCAAGGAAAAACAAGAAGCACCTCACTGCCTTTGCATCGGTGAGCTTCCCCATAGGCAGGGACCACCCCTGTATAGAGCAGGCAGGAGGTCTTGGGGTCTGCTGCCAGGCCAATTAGTTGGTGAGTATGGGCAGTGCTGAGCACAGTGCTTCTCTGAGCATGATAGCCTAATGGGTGTGCTACCTCTAGGTAAGAGGTTTGAAGAAATCTTCTGTAGTGCTTTGTAGAGGAAAGCATGTGAATTGCCCACACATTTTGCCAGATGCCGCTACAGTAGCTACCACTGCCAGTTTCAAGAACTGAGAGGAAAATCGCCCCTTGGCATTGAGTTCACAAGTCATCCAGATTCTTATAAATGCACTCTCATCATATTAAAGAGCCCAGCTTTCTCTCCTACAAGTTCAGGAGTTTCCTTCTTAAAATCAAAGCTATGCACACTGAAGAGAACTTCTTGTACATTGATTATTTGATGCAAGTAAATTGCAAAGAGAAGGTGCTCAGGACAATGAATGCCACAGCTGTTAGCTTCATCAATGGGAGCTCACAGTTTGCAAGCAATGCCCATTACACATCCCTGTAACCCTCTCTATTCTTTGCCCTTTGAATAATTTATCCACAGGAAATCCAAATTGCCAAGGCATACTTTAATCTAGCAGAATGCCTGCCAATTTCCTTGGGAAAACTGACACAAAAAACTATAGATTACATTTCAGCTGAACACAGGCATGGGGCAATCAGATGCATTGTGTGCCCTGCCTCAGAAGGCGTTGTGCACAGACTCAGTGCAATCGACATTTGAAGGCTCATAGATGCAATGTTGTCCTTTTGACACCTGCTCCTCTCTTTTCTTTAAATGTGAGCAATTGGTCCACAGGGAGTCTCTGCTTTAAAAATAGAAATTATAGAAATTGTCTCTGTTCTATGAGAAATCTATAAAACACATGGCTTATAGCATTGTGCTCCACAGCCTGGAGTTGACAGGTTGCATAAGTTACCCTGGCTTTAATTTTTCTTCTTCAACAAATTATATAAAACACTGTATACTAGGCTACTTCATGGAAAAGTTCACTTGTGAATTTCATCCACAATGAGGGATTCTGTTTTTCTTTCTTTCTAGTTGGTAAGGTAGACAGGTTTGTCTCTTGCCATTCTCTTCCTTCTCAATGTATCCCATTTTCTTGCCCCCACCCCAACCCCTTTGCCAAACCACTCACACAGAGCTTCATTGTCCTGGTGGTATCTAGTCTGGGACAAACGTTGATTTGCCTCCTATCTTTTCTTACTGTGGAGACAGTGTAGTCTGGTCTGGCCACCCTTCTGCTTGGGTGCACACCTGCCCCTCTCAGTCCTGCTATCTGTGAGAGGATTGTTTCTTAAATCACAGCACTTGCCAGTATTTTATCTATTCTTTCAGATTTGTCATGGTGACATAAGATAAGTTTTACCTGGGGACCCTCATCCTCAGGTATGCTCTGTCTATGGCTGTCACCTTCATAGTAGCTTTTCCCTGGTTTTCTCAAAGGACCATCCATGTGTGGGCAGCAGCCCTATGGAGGCTTCTCTAGGTGAGTGAGGATTCTAATGGACTTGGTAATCCTTAGCAGGCCTACCTGCTAAGATAGGTAGATGTGTGGGCCACTGTTGCTCAGGCTACCAGTTTCTACCCATATGACCCTAGTATATTAGGAACATGAAAACCTGTGCCTAGTAGGAAGGAAATACCCATAGAAACCAGGCCCTGAACTATGTTAATCTGACCCAGTTCTGTCTTCAGCAGTTGAATCTGTACCTTAGTACCTGCCTGGCAAGGTGAGCAGTAGGTGTTACTCCCTGTCCTGGGAACCTCTTGCATTATAAAATATCTATACACACAAGGCTGTGGCTTTTGTGGGCAGATAGGAACCTGAAGCAGTATGAATAGAACACTGCAAGGGACTAGGAAATATGGATGAGATATCTCCCAACTTGCTTCTTTTGGTCCCATTCTTGTCATTCATAGATAATCTTCCTATCATCATCAAAGTTTGAGTCAGAAAATGGCCAGATGTCCCTGATGGTTCTAGATATGGCAGGTGTTGGCCCTGGCTGCTTAACATTGTGGTTGTTTTTCTTTGCAGATGAGCTTAGAAAGTGATGACAAGAGAGCTCGCACACGGTCCAAGACCCTTCGAGGTGAGTGCCAGCTCAGTCTGGCCTGGTTCCCATCTTTGGCAACTGTCCTCTCTGAAAGTGTTGATATCATTGTACTACAGCCCTCCTCAGTAGTACAAATTCCAACATAAATGCCTAGAGTCCTGGTAGCCTTTGGTCCACACCTGGGACTTTAGGACTCTTCAGCTGTTCCTCAGTACAGTGTTTAAGGATTTCCTGAAGTCCTTTTCAGCTCATGCAGACTTTCCTTGGGCAGAAATGTGGGGGCAAATACAGTTCTACAGGAGTGGGAATAGCAGAGTTCAGTTAGGAGCCTGCTTAGTGTGGAAAGGAAATACCCCTGACCTTTGGCCAGTATCCTCATTTTCCCCAGAGACCACTGTTGGTGCTATCAGGGATTTGAAAGTTGTTGGGCGGACTTGACAGTGGGTGAAGGGGAGGGCCTAGGACACTCTATTAAGACTGAGCCTGGTCAGGTGGTGGTGGCACATATCTTTAATCCCAGCACTTGGGAGGTAGAGGCAGAAGCAGAGGCAGGTGGATCTCTGTGAGTTAAAGGTCAGCCTGGTCTAAAGAGCAAGTTCCAGGACATCCAGGACTGTTACACAGAGAAACCCTGCCTGGGGGGCAGGGAACTAAAACAAACCAAAACAAGCAACAACAATAAAGAGAGGCTCAAAAGAGACTGAGCCTTACCTATTTGGCCATCTGCCCAACCCCAACTTTGTCACCTGGAATTTCCTGTTGAACCCAGCAGAGTATCCAGGAGCTTTGAGTATGTCAGAGCTGCCTATTCTGGTTGGATCCATGTACATCTTGTAGCTAGTGCCCATCATTGTGATCAGCCATGTCTCTGTTGGTCCTGATCTTTGTCCAACTTGATCTGGTAGCTAATATCTCCCACTAGAAAAACTGACATCTATCTGCAATTAAAGAGAGATAACACCCTGGACCCAAGGGTAGAGAGAATATCAGGTTTTCTCTGAAAATCACCCACAACTAATCACTGAACTGAACTGGAATCCAGAGGCAGAGAAGGGT